TGTGTCATCGCCTGTCAGAGGTCAGAGAGCTTGCATATTCTATTAGGCAGAGTTGCCTTCATTTGTACAAATTAGTTTACCCAACAGTAATTAAAATGCCAGTGCGGGTCGGGGAGAGCTGAATACAATTGATGGGCACGTTGGTGAAGGATTTGACAGCTCCAGTGGCCTCCCTTGCCAAAGCGTGTCAGTGCTGAATCAAAGGCTACACAAACCCACAGACCCGTGTGTTTAACCCGCGGCACTGTCAGCACCAACTGCTTTCTCTCTTCTCCACTCTCCGTTTTGGACTTGCTTTCTCTTCTTTCTCATCCCACTTGAGACTTTTTTAAAAAGATGTTTCCCATCTTTGAGCTGTCCTTTCTGTTGATAGCTTTCATAATGCTGCTACCAGCACTCACGCCCCCACCCCCGTCTTGTCTCCCTCAATGCTCCCCCTTCTCTCCCCCTGCCTTCCACATTCCCAGCTGCAGGGCTCTGTCAAGTAATAACTTCTTTGTTTCCTGGTCTGATGAGTCTCTGTATATAATAGTCTCCAAAATGGAACAACGACGTCCAATTCCAGGGGGTGGGGGAACATGCGAGGAGGAAGGAACAGGCTCTTGCACGTGTCAAGCAGATTCTGGATTTGAAATCCCCAAAGAGCAGAATAGGACTTGGGAAGCAATCTGTTTACAATACAGGGGAAGGGCGCAAGCCTGGGGCATGGGGGAAATTTAGAGAGAAGGGGTTGGAAAGTGCCTGTTTCACCCAGGTTCCTTTAATGACTTTGCATTGCAGGATTCCCAGCTCAGGCAGTGCATGCTCTGAAGGCTGGGTTGACAATGAGGAAGGTATGTATTGTGCAATGGGACTTGTATCTCTGGAGCTGAGACTATTTCCAAGCTTCACGACAAACAGCATCTTTCCAAAAGGACTGATGGGCAGCTACATCTTTTCTTCTGGTTCATCCACACCTGGCAATGTTCTGGCCAGGACAGGGTAAAGAGGGATGCTGCAGGTGAAACCATGTAGTTGGCACCTTGGGAGCAGGCATGGAATCATTGCAGCTGGACTGTAGCCAGAGCACTACTGCTGTTGCCAGAAATGCTACGGGGTCTTCAACAACCACAAGTCAATCAGATGGAGAGAAGTTCTTGTGTTTCTTCCAGCAGCACTGCCAGGATATGTGTTCTCTCTCATCCCCTGGCCCAGCTTCTGTTGTGGGGGGAGGATCTCTAATGAGAGCTCTTCTGTAGCGTAGAGAAGGTCTAGCTTCAGGAGAAGCAGTTTTGTTTTGTTTCCAACCCCCCCCTTCCTTCTCAGCAGGGCATTTCAAATGGGAAAGAGAACATCAAAGTATCAGATGAGTTGGAAAATGACTTGCTTTGGACAATAAAAACATGCTGTGTATGAAGTATGTGTGTCTCAATGGTCTGCAAAATTCTCGCCTTCCTGGCACGGTGGAGGTGGAAATGCTACATTGGCTTGCTTGTTTTTACCTCCTGGGGGATTCCTGTGAAGACAACATGCCCTGTTATGGAAGTGCTGCAATGGTGCTGAATTTCCCATTAAATAAGCCTTTTGGAGGGAGCTTGTAGTCATGGTACCCAACAACTTTCACAGGGCAGAGGAAAGCTTAGTGGGGAAGGCACTTTGCATCTCTAAGGCCATCTGAAGCTTGGATATAGCTTTGGACAGTTTTTATGTAGCATGTAGATGTATCTGGTCAGTGTCTGTGTACATCAGTAGCATCGTGTATACTTCAGAGAGATGGGCCATCCCTGCAGTAATATATATATAGGATGTCTTGTGCTTTCCTCTTCCCGATCTAGTCTCTCCTCTGTCTGATTCCTGAAAGCATTGTAAGCAAAACAAATGACACTCACTAAGCTAGTAATTCAGCTTGAGTTGTTTCTGTTGGGCAGCTGACAAGAGCAGTTGTGAAGAAGTTGCACTTCTCTAGGTCAGAGGTTTTTGGTGTGTGCTCTGTGCTTCCTAAGACAAAAAGCCTTGTTGAAGGTAAACTGAAAGAAGAAAGCCTGGTAGAAGGCTTCAGTTCTGCTGAACGATGTTTCAGAAGTTTTGGACCCAAGCTTGAAATGCTTTGCTCCAATTTGCATGCTGTTTTAGACCTACAAAAGCTGACTTGTGGTGTCCTTTTGATTGGAGTGAAACTGTCACCTCTACGAGGTTCCCAATTATGAGAGGCCTGGGTGTTGAAGGTGTATGCCTGCAGACCAGACTCAAGGTGAGGGGCTCTGTATCATCTCTTGCGAATCCAGATTTCCAGGTCAGTTTGCTCCCAGGCTTTAGCAGTTTTTCATTGGCACCATTTCTTGTGCATGTCTTGTGAATGCTGCTTTCTAATCCTGGCAGTGAAGGTGCCCCACTTTTCTGGGAGAAGTCTTATCTTTACTTGCTAATGGGATCCAGCCTTTTAAAGATAAGGCCTGCAAACCTGATACTGCTGAAGTATGAGACAAAATTCCTGTTGACTGAATGGAGTCAGCTTTACCTAGAAGAGACTTGTTTGTGGCCCTGAGGCCTGTACACGATGCTGGAGAGAAACCTCTTCATCTAATGCTATTCTCTCTTTTTTTTTCTTTTTCTTTTTTTTTTTTTTTTTTTTTTGGAGGGATGGGGGGTAAGGACTGAGGAGGGAAAACTGAAGTCCAGAACTGACAGCATGAGCAGGGATTAGACCTTGCTGTTCCTCCCACCTTTTTCTCCCTGTTGGTGTGCCTCCATGCTAATTTAGACCTGTGGCAAGCATCAAAGCCTTGTGCATACCTTCTGCACAAAGGGGCTTGTCTCCCACGTGAGGGCGTTCTCTGCTGGGACAGAGTTAGTTTGTCCCCCAAAAGAAAAATCTTAAGCACCCAATTGCCTGCTTGACTGACTCCCTGACTGCTATTATGTTTCTAACCACGGTAATTGGCTTTAGTAGTTATTAATGGATTATGTTTGGGGAGGGAGGGACAGAACGCAACACCTAGCTTTGTAGCTGAGGGACTCCCTGACCAAAGTGCTGTTGTCCAGGCATGGGGTTTGACCAGTGAGCTGTCAGAGTGGGTCTTTTTTGCTTGTTTTCCTCCAAGATGGGAGACATTGCCAAAGGCGGAATGTTCCCTCTTGTACTGCACTATGGTAGAGAGAGGGCAGGTATTGAGCAGAAACTCCATTTCCAAATACGAGATGCTGCACGCTTTCTTAATTGGTCCTCGTGGCTGCAGCGTAGCAACAGGAATTGCTTTTTCCTTAGATTCTTAGACTTTGGGCACTTCTGTGGAGAAGAATGTGTACACCCTGCAGCATCTGTGCAGAGTGCCTTGTGCTACAGGTGCATTGGGCCAATTGCAAGTGCACTGCCAATGAATGTGGGATTTTTGCTTGTAAGACAGCCTGGTTGGAGAGACTTTGAAATAGCTCTGGTGCTGGAGGCCTTGTCTAGCCCTAAAGGGCAGCTTGGGGTCACAGGACTTGTGTGGACCTCTCCAGGTATGTGAGTTTGGGGAGGATGACTATAACCAGCAAAAAAAAAAAAAAAAAAAAAAGAGATCCTTGGTAGCTGTAGCTCTTCCCTGTTTCCCATAGCTCTTTGAGATTGTTTGATGATATCTGCCTGCCTCTTTTGTGTAGCATGCTTGTCAGTGCTGCTTTGGCCTTATGATCTGGAGAAACCAGTTGCTCAGCTGAAACTTGGAATAGAGGTGTCCTGAGTTCTGGCCTTGCTTCCATATGGCTCTTCTCTGGCTTTGAGTGTGTGTTCACTGCTTTGCTGCTGGGTGCCTTGTAACACCAGCAGTAGTGCTCCTCACAGAAGTCAAGGATGCTGCAAGAATCCCTTCCTGGTACAGTAGAGGCTTGAAGACACCTTCTGACTTCCAAAGGAAGAATGTTGTAGAGGATCAAAGAAATGTTTAAAACCTGCTATTTTTACAGACATGATATTGTTTCCTTATTTTGCTTTCCTCTTTCAGCTGCCAGCCCCACGTCATGCTGCAAAAGATGGTTAGGCAAAGCATAGAGCTGACTTTTATTTAAAGCAGGCTCCGTTTCCTGCATTTGTGCTATCCTTGTTGCAATGACTTAAACATAGTTTTGGCATTTTATTCTCGGTAGCTGCAGTAAATGTGGCTTTGTGAGAGGTCATTTATAGCTTGCTTAGAAATCTTTGTAGGAGCTGCTTTCTCTTATTTGGACTGAGGATAGGAAGTTGGCACAAAACAAGCAGTGTGGTGTGGAGAGCCACAGCACCCTTGTTGCTGCTACTTGATTTTAAGGATTTGTTTGAGGCCAGTGACCAGAGCCAGCATGTGCAGCAGGGACATAGCATCACCAGAGGAGAACTTTTTGGAATGGACCTTGCTGGAGAGTGTGAACTGAGCCAGATACTGCTGCAGGAGAGCTGTGCTGCCTGTAACAGAGAGTGCTTGAGCACTGGGGATGGCAGCCTGATCCAGCTTTGAAATTGGCCCTGCTTTGAGCAGGCTGGACCAGACACCTCTATTCTGTGATTCGTTAGGCCTGTGATGCTGCAGCCAATTCATGATTGTGCTCAGAAGGTGCCAGCAAACAGAAAGGAGACATGAAGTAGCAAGTAACAGGGAATTTTCTGTGGGGTCTTTTCGGGGCTTACAGCACTGCCTATACATGAAACATGCTGAGTACTGTGCTGTTTTGAAAATGATGTTGCAATTTACAGCTGCTGCTGTTTTAGGTTTTCTCTTTGCATATGCAAATACATCTTTATGTCCTGCCAATTCTCTGCAGTTCTGACCTGCTGCATCTGGGAAGCTTAGCTACTGAGAGCTCTGGAGCACCTCTCCCTTTGCTGCTGCCTGCCCCTTGTGAAATGCAGTGGAACGTGCTGAAATTGTTTTGGACCAGAATTCAAAGTCTGTCTTGTAGCCTGTTTTCTCTGTCTTGCTTGTGCACTGTTTCTTCAGAACATGAGATTTAGTAAGTGAGTTCTCTTGTTTGCTTGTTGTTTGTTTGTTGTTGTTTTTTTTAAACAGTTCATTTGTGACGGGAACAGCCTGCTGTGGACACACCTCACCTCTGAGAATCTGGGACCTTGAGAGGTGAGTAAGCTTCCAAGTTACAGGGAGGGACTTGATAAGAAAAGTGAATAACAATGAGAAATGCAATATTGGAGATGCCATAAAATCATTCTTTTAGTCCATATAAGCAAGGGATGTTTAAACATGAGATGTAGGATGGGGTGGGGGACAGAACAAACTGGTGTGGAAAGGTGTGTGTGGCGGGGTGGTTCTGGTCCAGTAGGGAGCAGCTTGACTTTTCTTCACAGCTTTTCTGGTTGATGACACAGCCGTCCTGGTTTCTTCCCATTACCAGTGTACAGTCAGAATATGCCCGTTACACCTTCCTTTTCATCTGTCTTGGTTGATGCTTCAGCATGAGCGAGAGGGGTGAGGAAGGTGATCTGCATCTTCCTGTTCACCCACTTGTGGTGCCCAGAAGCCAGAGGCAAACGTAGGCTCTACAGTCTTGTCCTGGCAGGTGTTTCTGGTAGCTCAGGGAGGTGAGGGGTGGCAACAGGTTATCTGCTGAAGTGACTTAGGCATGTTGTCTTCTCTCTGTCTTAATAAGCATTGAGGAGGTTAATTGCTGTGGCCTCTGATTTGGGGCCATTGAGTAGTTCCTGTTCAGTGAAGTTCCCGACCGTAGCAACTGGGGAAATGTCGGGCTCAAATCCTGATGTGAGATTCAACTGCTGACAAATTTGAAACTCTCAGCCTGGGGGTCTTTGTGGAGTGATGGACAGATAGCAAATATTTGGCAGGATTATTGAACGGCAGCTCAGCTTTCCAGGACTGGTATGCTCTGGGTAGGAGTGGCACAGCACAGATTTTCAAGGGAGTGCTGTCAGGATTGAGGTGAGCTGGTGGGCTCTGGGAAGGGAGAGAGGGGGGCAATTGCAGAAGAGGTCTTGGGTGTCAGCAGTGCTGTATTTGGGGAAAGGAAGTTGAGGAAGATTGGTGTGGATGCAGGGCTGGTCTGAGGCCAATTGCCTTCTAATCTGTAGTTTAGATTGTCCAATTCAACTGCATCAAATACAAACGTAAACTGGTTTGGGTTTCTCTGAAGTAACAAAAATAAAGACTTTACAAAGGATGCATCCCACAAAGGACAAACTATAGCAGGAAAGACAGTGCCAGTGCATTCAGCTGTGGTGCATGTTTCTCAGTGACCTAGTCCGATGGTGCCTTTGGAGTACCCCAGAAGGATGCAGGCTGTGCTGTGATACCCCTGCCCATCAAGTCTTCTGGCTGTTCTTGAATAGAAGCATCTGACAGGGGTGAGGAGATAGGCAACCCTCTCCCCCCTGCCCCAATCTCTCTGACAGCCTTTCCCAAGGAAGCCTGAAGAGATAATAAAGCCGTGTAGAAAATAGGATTAAGGTAATGAACAGGCACAACGGAGTTTGATCTTTCAATAACGTCAAAGCCTGAGTGACAGGCAAATAAAAAAGCTAAGGCAACCTAGGCCACTGGGCCTCTGTTGCACTGGCTGGAGTGTCAAACTTATTCTTCCCTCTTCACCTGTCACAGCTGGAATGCACCATGCCACTGGGTCTTTTCCTCTCTGGGGACCTGTGTGTGAGCTGGGAGTCTCGTCAGCACGTGCAGGGCAGGAGACTGAGTAGGGAGCACGTCTGGGAACTAGCACGTGAAGCTTGATGTGACCATTCATAGTGAGGGAGTACAGAGCTGTCTTTCCAGGTCTTGCCTACTCCATAAACTGTTCTTCTTCCCAGCAGAGCTTTGGATTCATTTTCAAAGGCCCCAGTGGTTGCCAGAAGTGACCTCGTAGGGAAATGCTATTTCTTCCTTTGAGGCTTTTGCATGTTGTCTGCCTGGTCAAACTCCAGAATTGGGAGCATGGCATGGAAACTCAAAATCTTAGAGCTACCTAGGACTGAAAAGGTCCTCCTGTGCCTAATGTGTCCTGACAACATCTTGGAGACAGGACCAGGCCCCCCAAATTTGCTGCTTACCCCTTCCTTGTGGCTATGAAGGGCATGAGTCTGACCCGCAGAGGCTGAATGTGGCAAGCATGTTATCTGCAAGAGCACAATCCAGGCCACTTCTCTATCAAAAAAATGAGGCAGGGTAGAGCAATACTTAAGATGTGTTCTTTAAAACTACAGGATGCTTAGCACCACTTAGGTGTTTAATGTTCTCCAAGACCAGTTAGTTTAGTTACCTGGGTTTTTTCTGTGTGGGGGTGTGTGTAAGTAACATTGCAGCAGTTTCCGTGGCATTCTCTTCCCTTGGGTAGGTGGTCTTTTTCCCCAACAGCTGAGAGATGGAACATACTACAAAAGGATTTAAAGCTTTAATAACCTTTTGTGTACTGATCTTCTTAGTTCCAGGCCAGATAAGTCCTTGGCTAGTGCTTGTAGCTGTTGGTCATGGTATGTTTTCGTATTTATAGCCTTCGCTGTTCCTTGACCCCGAGGCAGCCATTCTCATCCCTCCAAGAGGAAGAGGATAATGTCTTCACCTGGAAATATGTTCTGGGCTTTGAAAAGGGCTTGGTTGGGTTTGGCGGTGAGGAAATTTTTATGGGGGAAAGGAAACGCCTCTTGCTGCATCCCACCCCCACAACTGTCTTTCATTTCTGACTCTGCTGGGATGATGGCGTTGGATCAAAGCCGCAACAGGCAGCAACAAGCAATTGTCAAGGGGAGTCTAAAGCAGGGGAATGACCGCGTAATGCCAAGACACTGTCTCTGATGGCTGAAATTCCAGCTGCTGCTACACCTGGCCCTTTCTCCTGTAATGAAGGAGGATTTTTTTTTTCTTACGCTTTTGAAGCTGGCTAGCTGCACCTCTGGAGGACATATCTCATCCCCCAGATGCTACATTGTGCCATCTGATTGCTTTTAGATGTGGGGAAGTTGCTGTGTACTTATTGCCATGCAGGATCAAGGTGTGTATGTGGAGGGGGGCTGTGAATAACTTAGGTGATTAGAGGTCTGCACAGGAAAGGAGAACAATTAGCAGTGTGGGCCACTGGATACTAACCTGTGTCCTTGTATCAAGTATTGAGTCTCGCTGACTCCTTGGCCTCTTGCAAGTCCTCTTGCCCCTCTGTGCCCGTGAGGGATATGATGGCAGCTGCCCCTCTTGCAGGTCAGGTACCTCTGCTCCCTTTTGCCTTTCTTTGCTCAGACCTTCTTGTCTCATCTGCCAGTGCTAGTGTGTGGCTCAGCAGAACAGCTAATGGCAAGCAAGAGAAAAGGAAACTTTCTTCAGGTCCTGTTCCTCTTTTTTCTTTTCTTTTTTTTTCTGTTCCCACCTTCTTTGTCCTTTGGGAGTTTAAGCTCCTTCAGAGACGAGGGTGATGCACCACTAGGAACAGCTCCAAAGCCAGCATTTCTCATTTGCTTGTGGAGGACTGTTGCTCCCTGGCCTATTGTGGTGGTCTGCATGTCTTCAGGTGACACATGCCCCTGCCTCAAGGATGCTTTCCAATAAGGTAGGATATTCCAGAAGTTGCTTTGCAGCAACTCTTGGAGCTATTCTGCCAAGCTCGATGTTTGAAATGGACCAGTGATCTGCCCGGCATGGTAGTCCTCATGCTGTAAACACTTTGAATGCACGAGTCCTACATTGTCCTTTCCTGTGGCACAACCTGACAGACACAGGGCACGAGAGCAGTTGTAAAAACTGAGCCAAAGTTAGCTGTGCCCTGCAAGCCACCCCAGATCCTCTATTTTTTAAATATCCAGTCTTTGTCCATCTCCTCCCCCCTTTTGAAAGCATTTTTGGCAGAGTGGTTTTTTTGTTTTTTGTTTTTTTTTTAAGAACCCTCTAATTTCTTGTGTGGTTTTTCTCTCTCTCCTGAGCCCTTTGAAAGTGGCTTTACACTGTCACTGACACCAAACTGACACTTTGCGTTTCCCCACTTCTTATCCCTTTATGGCAACAGATGTTGAAATTTTGTATCCCTTTTATCTGTCCCTCTTTGCCCTCTTCCTGTAATTAGGTTTCCCTTGTTAGCAGTACAAAGTGGCCCGGTTTGCTGCCTGGCCTTTTGAGCCATTGTGTCTGAGCACATTTTTTTCCTCCTCTTTCGGAAGAGTTCCTTCCCCCTTAAGTAATAGGCAGGGTGTGGGCCAAAGCTGTGGCTTTTTCTTGTTTCTTTGTTCTCCATTTATCTCTGCCACCTTTTTCAAAGGAATGGGGAAAAAAAAAAATAGAGGGTGCATGGAATGGGAAGATACAGAGTTGCATTTCTTGACCGTTAGGCCCCCCTGCTCTTCAGGTGTTCAAGGCAGGTGCCTTTGATGTCTGCAAGTTTTGGGGAGGTGGGAGGTAGAGGATTCGTGAGTGGCTTGGGAGTGGAGGCAAAGGGAGATTCAGGTGTGTGGCTGGTGCCCTCAACAGAGGGGTGGGGACGAGTCTTTCAGGGTAGACAGGCAGCTGCTGAGCAGGTTAGTAATCTGTATTTGCCTCTAGTGCTATTACGTTGTGCTCTTTCTGCGAGCCAGCATGAGCATTACCACCACAAGCAGCTGTCTCAAGGTTGCTAACTTGCTGCTGCTTGATCTCTGGTATGTGCTTCCATGGTATCCTTGCTAGGTGACAACTGTCTGTGCAGTGGGGTGGGCAAGAATTAGTTGCTGTCCTTCAAATTTCAGCGTATGTTGATCTGCATCCACTTTGATGGCTTTTTTAGAGCCATTGAGTGAGTGAATGTGAGCAATTGTCAACAAGTAGGGAGAGCTTTAAAACTTTGGGTCCTGTGCTGTTCTTAAACAGTAAGTGTAATTCGACAGTTGTACTGTGTAGCACTGAACACCCTGGTTAGCTGATCACTGCTGATGCTTTCCTATTTAAATCCAGTCCTTCTTGGCTTTGTGTCCTGTCATGCTCAGATTTTATGTGTGGAAGTAGATAAATCAAATGAGAATCTGTAGGGCTAGTTCTTTGTTATAAAGCTTGCTAAATGTTTTCAACAAAAGTTTTTAATGTAGAAGCTTTGCCCAAGATGCACAAGCTGGCTTCTTAGTGTTGTGTTCTAAAACAAGTTCTGTGGAAGATCATTCTCT